GTGGCTGCAGAAGAGAAAATCCCTTTTGTAAGTTTCCAAAGAGGCCCTCTGACTCATATTTATCTGTTAACTGTTGTTAATGATTTTGGGTTTCTCTGGATCCTTGTGTGGGGTAATAATACTAACTAGTAATAACTGGTCAACTCCAACTCCAATTTGCATATACAGCTTTTACTATTGCAAGCCTTCAAATGTATGGCCCAGAAAACAGAATTCTCCACATTGGATTGTTTTCACAGGGTAGCCACCATGAAATCTTCAGAATTTGGGCTTATTCATAGTGTGCTAGGTGCTGTTTGTGACCCATGCACCATTCAAGGAAGGTTTGTTTCTTACCATGATATGACTAAATATTCCAGAATCCCTTCTTATAGCATGCTTCTTGGTATCAACAAACTCAGTTTAGAGCATCTGGGAAACACATACCAAGATAGGATGAGAACAGTAAGGGATGGGGTGGGTATCTTTGAACAATAAAGGAGGAGGGAGCCGGAAGTGAAATTCTACTGAAGGGGTATTGTCTTTGATAGACATGATCATACCCTAAAAGTGCTGTGCTCAGCCTTGGATTAGGAACATTCCTTTAAAGGAAAGTATGGCTTTCAAATAATCATATTCATGCTGAATTTTATCTGAAAGTCAATATAACTGGACAGTGATTTGACTTGTAGGACTGGAGGTTTAAAGCAAATCCCATAGCATGGCTACTTTCTCACTAAGGCTTATTTATCCATCACCCTTATCAGTAAAAGATACCAGTAATAGTAGGATGTCATAAGTCTTGAAGATATTCAAATTGCAATTTAGAAGCACTTTGGCTACACCCAGTTTCTTAAAAACTTCATATTGACTTCATACCTAGGTTTGCTTTCCTTTACTAGAGAGTCTCTGTTCAGTGGGTAAAGATACCTTCTACCAAACCTGATGACCTGAGGTCAATTCCCAGAATTCACATGGTAGAAGGAGAAGGCTGACTCCTGCATAAGTTGTTCTCTGATTTACATTTGCACAACCTGACAAGAGCACACATATGTACGTTCATGTACACACATACACACACACACACACACACACACACACACACACACACACACACACACACACACACGTACACACCATAAGTAAATAAATGCCGTAAAATATAGCATTAGAAGTAATGGTTTTCATTATAGTGTTTTCATACATACATACATACACATATGTATTCCTTCATATTTTGTCAGAATTCATCCTTTTGCCCACTTCTGTCCTTTTTCTGGCTAGTTTCCTTACTTCTCTCAGTTTCATATCACACACACACACACACACACACACACACACAAATTATTTTGTATTCTTTCCTAGATCAAGACACCCACTTTCGTGATTTCCTTTCTAGTGTAATGACCTACACTCTCCACCCCGACCCCCACATATAAAGACACACATAAAATTTTAAATCTATCTTGAGCTCAGAAACTATTTCCACTGAAAACTGACTTGTGACTGTACATTCATTTAATCCTGTATACTTTTTTGTTTTGTTATTTCTTTAGTATGACATATTTTAATCCATTTCCTTTGAAGTTTCTGGCATTTTATATCATGTTTAGAAGGGTCTTTCCTATTCCAAGTATGTAAACATACTCACCAATATTATCCCTAGAGAGATTTTGTCTTTTAAAACATAGATAAAATAAATTTTACTCATCTTAACCTCCTAGTCCTCTTTCTCCCTCCTTCCCTTTATCACTGAAACAAGCACCTTTTATTTGTGTTTCAAATGCCGAAGTAGTTGTCTCTATATTGTTTATATTAAAAATTCTTTCTTTCCACTAACTTCTGTGATGTAGTGTTTTGATCCTTTTTAGTCTCTAGATTTTGATGCTGAGCTCCTTTGTCTTCCACTGTATTTAGTAACTAAAATGCCTAAATTATGACTGCCTTATGTAAATTTACTATTGGCTGTCTCCCATGGGTTTTACTAATGTAATATTTTCCTCATTAATTTTTCAAGTGTACACTCAATTACTATTTCAATTCCCTTATTTTTAAACACTTGATTACATGATTTTTAAGACCTACAAATAGTAACAATATTAGGTATCATAAACTTTTTTGTAGAATAATTATGGAATCTGATTTATGCTATTTCTATGCTTCAAAGCACATTTAAATGCCTGTGCTCACAATTTGGATGCCAATTTTGCTTCCCTGGCAGCTGGTTCACATCTCCCCCAACTCCACCTTGTTCATCAGTTTGATTGTCTGACCTAACTTTATCCTGCCTTGCTATAGGCCAAACAGCATTTTTTAATTAACTAATGAAAGTAACACATATTCACAACATACAGAAGGATTATCCCACAGCAGTTTTTCTCATAAAGAAAAGAGAAATGGAACTTGTGTTCTTAGATATTTTGAAGTTTGACATGTTTTTTTTTAGATTCTATAGTTTCTATTTTATTTTTTTAATTAAGAAATTTTCTATTCACTCTATATAGCACCCACAGACCCCCCCTCATTCCACCCTCCAGCCTTCCCTTCCAAACCACCCCACATCCCCACATCTCCCAAATCAAGGTCTCCTAAAGACACCACCAAATAACTCACATCTGATCAACACTTTCAGCAAAATGGCAGGATACAAAATTAATCTACAAAAATCAGTAACCATCCTATATACCAGTTACAAATACACTGAGAAAGAAATCTGGGAAACAATTCCATTTACAACAGCCTCAAAAAAAATACCTTGGAGAAAATATAACTAAAGAAATAAAGAACCTCTATAATGAAAACTTTAAAACAATGAAGAAAGAATTAAGGAAGATGCTAAAAAGTGCAAAGAATTCCTGTATTCATGGATTGGCAGAAGCAACATTGTAAAAATGGCCACCCAATCAAAAAATAATCCACATATTCAGGGCAATCCCATCAAAAATTATACTGAATGCAGTAAGTGACAAATGCCTCACATTCTCTTTATAGAGCCCACCTTCAAATATTTAGATATTTTGGCTTAATGGAATACTTGTAGAATGTAAGGCCCCTGAAAAAGATCATTGGTTGAATACCTCAAGGGATGGAGCATAGCAGAATGCAAGTGATATGGAAACAGATAAGAGAATACCTAGGGTGTGGGGGTGATTAAGAAGGCATGGATGGAGGGGATGGAGGAGGCAAAGAGGAAATAAAGGAGAGCTAACCACAAAAGAAGGGTATATGACAAAAACTCATATGGAAGCCATTACTTGGTAAGCCAACTAAAATGTGTGTGAGTTAGAAGGATGATAACCCGCATGGTTAAATATGAGAAGCATGACAGTCTTTCTTCAGGTGTGTGCATTTAAGTGCCTTCTCTCAGCTCCTGTGTTATATTTGCATATTTCTTTAACATCTTTTGGTGGAACTTAGACTTAATTTTATTTGATTACAGGCTTATGTCACCACCATGATATGTATGTAATATTGTTTATACTAAACAAGCGAGTGACCAAAATAATAAAATCCACTTGAAACATTAAAAAAAAAAGAAGCAAAAGGGAGGAAACATCTCCTTTGTTCCCAGTGTTACTTTCTATTTGCAGTGCATTAGGACATCAGAAAATATGCAGTAGGGATGGGGGTACTTTTTCCTTTTTGTAGCACAGGGACTAAATCTAGGACTTTGTGCATGCTATGTGCACACTCTACAACTAAACCATATCTCCAACCCAAGGATAGTATGGATGTTATGACAAAACCCAACAGTAAGGATGTTATGACAAAAATGTCAACCATTCACAGACACTTTTGTCTCTTCTAGGTTTCTGTTATTGCTTGATATAGAAATGTCACAGGATACCAGGGCTAACACTTTTCAATATACCTTCAGAAACTTCTTTTGAAAGGTAAACAACTTGGTCTCCAGCTGAACAAATGATTTTTATTTGAGGCAAGGGTATTAAGATTTCTGGAATATGACTTCAGTCCACTACTGGCAGATTATATCACAGACTCTACTACTGGTGGGTTGTGTGACAGGAAGAAATGTCTTCTTTCTTTGTGCCAAAGCATCTCCATCTTCACAGGATTCTACATCAGGGTGTATGTGAGAAGGACTGAACCTGGTAGCATCTTGGGACTTTCTAGCTCTAATAAGGTAGGAGCAGGAGTGAAAAGCATAACAAAAGGAACATGGAAGGGATGAAGGCAGGTCAGGAATGTATGAAGGCAGCCACATATACTGGTTGGTGCCATTGTCCCTTTTATCACCATTAATGAGAGAAGGGTACTTGGTACATGTCTGGTAAGTGGATAGGAGATGGGAACAATGGTTTAGGCAATTGCTTTTAAGATTTAAAACCTGAGCTGATCGTAAGAGCCAAATGATGGATCAGTGCTGTGAAATGCTGTTTTCTGCCCATGACATGCATGACCTTTGCACTTATGAACTCAAAGCAGCTGAGGACACATATACTGGGCCTGCACAAGGCTGGGCCTGTCAACATTCTTCATGGATAAGGGAAGGACTCCTGGGATCCTGCCCCTCCCCAAGAAACTATTGGCTGTTGAGTGCGGCTGATAAGGAATCATGGATTCATTCTTTTCAAATGTCTGCTTACTGGTGTGTCCCTCACACTCCAAAGAATATGATCATGTCAGGTAAGGTAACCCTTGTTACTCACAGGATCATAAAACCAACCAACCAGAAAATACACATGAAAATGGGTGGGAGAAGTGGGCTTGGCAGGAGCAGAAGGAAGATAAGGGAGGCCATGGGGGGGTAGTGAATGTGATCAGATTGCTCTCTCTCTCTCTCTCTCTCTCTCTCTCTCTCTCTCTCTATCTCTCTCTCTATATATATATATATATATATATATATATATATATGTGTGTGTGTGTGTGTGTGTGTGTGTGTGTGATTATATATTATTTGATACTCTCATATCAAACAATAGATTTAATTAAAAATAAGCTTGGATTTGGTGGGGGAGGCGAGAAAACCAGCCACACCTTGAATGCTTTGCTTTGCTGATACCTTTATTCATATATTTTCCCTTTACAGATGATGGTGACTAAAAGCAGATGGATTTCCCAATCCCACCCATCTCCATAAAGTACAGACACAGATTCTGTTCAGCATATACAAGCATTGGGGCATGTACAAATTCATCTCACTGGTTACTAGAGGCAAAAGTTCAACCTGTGGAGCAGTCTGAGTACTTCAGGCCTAGTTAGGGAGCAGGCCCATCTTGGGCGGGGAGGCTGTCACTACTCTATGCCCTGCCACTGCGGTGACAGCAAGGGAAACAGAACTGGGTCATGGTGATCAGAGCTACCTAGCCCTGTCATGTGCTTTAGCATGTGACTAGGGGACTCCAGATTGGCTTCCAGCAAGATCCACAGTCCTATAGAAATCTGTACCTTAAAGTTGCCATCTGCATAATGGAGAACAAACTATGCCCAAAGATGTCATAGGGCTATAAGAAGACTCCAAATAGAAATGATTTGTCAAAGGTACTTTGCCAAAGGGAAAATTCTGTATAAATTTAAGGGAATTCAATTGATTGTGATATTGTAAGTGCCCCAGGGATGGCAGTGGACTGGCTTATAGGTCCAGAGGCCAAGAAAGCAGTCAAACATTTAGACTGTGCCTGAGGTGAGCACCAGTCAGTAGCAGGTAATGGCTGCTGCCAGAGTGTTCTCAGTTTCTTGGCCCCAGGGAGTCACAAAGCCTAGCACCTGGATCAGGGCTGGGAAAGTCACTGGGGATGTTACAGAACAAATCACAAGGGTCAAAGAGGAAGAAGAAGGAGGCATACAAAGCAGGGAAAATTACAAACATTGCACACACGAATACATATCCATTGGATGAAGGGAACTGAATTGGTACTGCGATGGAGGCAGGTGGGGAAAAGGAGATGGCACAGCAGCAGAGAGGGGTTACTTTCCCAAACAGACCCACTTGCCAGCTCCTCACTTCCTAAAAAGATTTTGTGTGTGTGTGTGTGTGTGTGTGTGTGTGTGTGTGTGTGTGTGTGTGTGTGTGTGTAGAGGAAGGGAGGTCAGGAAAAAAAACAAGAATCTAATGGTCTGACTTGAAGACTTATGGATGAGGACCCTCCTTCTGCTAAACTGTCGCTCTGTGCATTCTGGGGCTGAGCCTGAGCTATGCCCCTTAGCACCACAAAGGGAACCATGGGCTTCTGGGGAAAGACTGTAGCTGTAAACATCATTGAGAGATATCTTATCTGCTCAAATGTGGGCACACTGAACATCATGAATGCTCTTTGAAGAATAGAGAGGTGGTCTGTCACTTGAGAAGGGCTGTTGAGAAAATTGAGTGAAAGGGCTAATGGAAAGAGGGCCAGCAGAGACAAACTCTCCACAGGCTTGTACTGAGAACCAGGGAAGAAAAAACTCCCTCTAGGCACTCCTGCTGCTGTTGCTGTTGTCTCCTAACTCCCTTGGCAAAGGGGCTTGGCACCTCCTGGGGAACTGGGAGGCTGCCCCATGAGCTACCAGCTGGAGCCTACAGGTTAAGGTAAATCAGCCAGTAGAGCACATTGAAGAAGAAGAATGTAATGGGGAAAAGCACCCGAGAGTAGTTATTCAGGCGGTAAATACGGATGCAGAGGCGGCCCTGCTGCCAGGTACTGCCCCCACAACCAGGAGCCATGCAGAAATACTTTCTGAGAACCTTAAAGCACACATAGCTTCTGCCACATCGCCTCCGGAGACACTGGGGTCTTCTGAAGCTTGAAGACTGCTGGACTGGGCAATATTGATGCTCCTCTTCAGCATTCCTCTCATAGGTGACGATCTCACACACAAACACTTCCTGCTGCTGGAGGGCACGGGCGCGGGCACGAGCACGAGTACGTGTATTAGCACAGCTACTGGTTGGAAGCTGAAATAGAGAACAAGGAGAAACAGTCAAGGGGATTTGAATCAAGAGTAAAGGTTGCCTGGAATTTCCTATAAACTACATTTGCCACGCCAGTTCTGGGCCTCCAGGATTTCCACCATCACACCAAGAAGTTTATTTCCTCCATGACCCCAGGGAACTTTCCATCATTTGGGAAACTACTCACATATGTGCCTAGTACCCTCATTCTAAAGCTTTGCCTCCCACACCAACACCAGGTTCTTACATGGCAGAGCTTTGGAGAAGCCTGTTGTTTTGTCTCATTGTAGGTCAGGAAGTTGAGCACAGCAAACTCTAGTAGAGCACAGAAGCACAAGACGAAACAAATGGCAATATAGTAGTCCAAAGCTGTGAGATAGGAGACACGAGGGAAATTCTTACAGGAAAGGGTGCCCAGTGTGGCCATGGTGAGTACAGAACTGACTCCTATAAGAACAAGGAGTGAAGGTGGGCTAAGCTCCTGACCCATGCTTTACACTGTTTACAGAATAGCAGGAGAAGGCAGATATTTCCCTTGGTCAAGGTAACTCTCCGATATATGCCCACATTTACGATCCCTGTACTTTCTTACCTACAGAGGCCCTGGCTGCAGCTGCCTCTATCTTGATCCAGAAGGAGACCCAGGAGAGCATTGTAGTCACAGAAGAAGGGATATAGTTTTGAAAGACAATGAAGCCAAACCGTCTGCTCACATTGAAGAATAAAGTCATGACCATGAAGTTACCTGAAAGACATAAAACACACCACTGCATTGCAGTACCAGCCTGATGTTTAGCACTGCATATATATCATGGATTCCACTGTCCAGCTCATGGGACACCCTATCAGAGTTCTAGAATAAAGGCACATTATTTCAGTGCAGCCCAGTAGAAGCCCAGAGGGCAGACTTACTCTAAGACCCCTGGGCAGTTGAGAGATAAGACAGCATAAGAATATTAATGAATCTTCTTTCAGTTAATTGATTCACTCACCCCAAGTCTATTTTTCCAGAGTATCAGCAGTGAGAGAAAAGTTTTTTTTTTTAAAGTGACCTTGATATCAAGACCTCACAGCTGATGGCTAGCTGAGACTTGCCTACTTAGAGAAATGCCATGTATAGTTTGTGATATCACAGCATTACATCTGCACTGCTAACCCTCACAGCATGCCCTCTTGGGTTAGCCAAATATGATATATTATGCTATATATGAGCTACACAATAAAGTCTACAATCTTTATTCTGATGCTAAGGTCTAACTTCTTCTGGATCTGACTCACATACATGCATACACACAACATGCATGCCTTACCCAAAACTAATTGAAGCTGATAGCCTACATATTTATCCTGGTAAGCAAATCCTAGACTCCTTGTTCTTAATATATTACTCCTAACCTAGTAAAATAGAAAAATTAGCTGAAAATGAACATGTCAGTTAATCTCTAGATGTTAGGTCTGTAGAATATCCAGTCCTAAGGCAGCTTAGGCTTTCAGATTCATTTGGGCATGCTGATCTTTTCTTGTTCTTACTCTAGATAGGAATGGATCTGTCAGAGGCTGATCAAACCTGTATTTCCAGCTGGCATACTCTGTTACACATGCTGTTCCTAACACTCCTCATGGTATTATGACTTCATACTTGGTTTGCCCAGAGCATCATTTTTACTCTCCTCATGACACTGGACATTAAATTGCTTCAACTATAGCTTTTCTGTGAAGCTAAGCCCTGAATTTCCACCTCTGATGCTATAGACTTCTGTGACTTTGAACTAAGTGGACCTTCAAGTCCCTTCCAAGAAGGGCTCATGTAAAGCCTTCAGCTTAACTCCTAACCAACCAAGCCTAGGACAACATGGAAGGCAATGATATTCAGTGATGTTTGCTACCATGGGGTAATAGCCTTGGAAAGCAGACTCAAACATTAATTGTCCTCACTTTAGACTCTACAGGAAACAGACCAGGTGCCTGACAAATCTGGGCAGGTCAGTGCCAAAAGAGAGCCTTTTCTCTAAGTGTTGGAAGCACTGACCTTGGATGAACAAAGCTTTAGATTCTTCAAAGAAAAGGCAAAAAGTGGTCTAGGGTCACTGGAAACTTGTTTCTTGAATAGTAGTATCTTTAATGCTATAATTGCTCTAGCACTGCACCAAGGACCACCCTATGCTACTAGCCAGAATAATCAAATTATTAGTTCTTCTGCCCTGGAGTCTTGACTATGATTTAAAACTCCCTTAATTGGCTGTAGCCACTTCACATCTGAGTTTATATTGTTGTCACAAGATTTATTATGCTGTTGGATTTCTCGTTCTTTAAATCTTATTTATTCTGACTAAAGAAGAAACTTCCTCATTTATTAAAAGCTGGAAATTTGCCAAGAGAAGGATACTAACATGTGTTTCCTTCTTTCTGATGAGTGAAGAAGTAACACCAATGTAAAAAAAAGATGTCTATGGCTGAAAGCCAAGACAAAATGAAATGCATTAAGATGATTTTTGCTCTTACCTGCTTTGTCCAGATCAGGGTTGGTAGTAGCACTGTCAAAAAGACACAATTAAGAGACTGTCCAGAGGACTCATGAACTGATGGCACCGAAGAGAAAGGGAAGTAAAGGAACTGGGGAGCATAGTCTCGATAGAATACAAATTAATGCTCTGGCAGTAACACTAGGTCTTTAAATTTGACGTATTGGAAGAGTGACTTCAGTTAATGTAAATTGGTAGCTAAAAGGGAAGAGAACTAGGTTGATGGGAAAACATCCCAGAGACTCTCATTGCAGATGAACAAGAAGAATTTTCTGATGGGAAGAATTGTCTAGAAAAGGAAGAAGTCTCCTTGCAAGACAGTGAACTCCTGATCATGGGAAGATTTCCTCAGAGGCTCAACAACCATCAGTGAAGGATGGTTCACTTACTATAGGCAGGGCTGTACTTTCTGAGCAGCTCCTGAAGTAGGGACTCTGCTCTAAGGTCTAAGGCTGCCAAAGTTGCAGGGCACTGCTGCATTCTAAACCCTGAAAAATGAGTACATTTGTGCTCTAGCTGGAAAGAACTGCCCCAGGGTTTAATTGGGAGAGTTAGGACCTGTTTCAAAGATAACTCTGGCAGTGGAGAAATCATGAATTAAGAACAAGTAGTCTCTAGCAGAAGAGAAAAAAGACCTATTCCTTTCTCCACAGGGAGAGCTATTGCTTACCTACTGCCATTGCTTCACCGATGATGCAGGCTCTGGGGCTTTGTAGTCACTAGGGTACCATTTTGAATCAATGTGCAAATCATCTACTAAACGGAACCACTAGTGACTTGAAAGCCCCTGGGCCTTGTCTCCTCTGCCAGTTCTGATGATGGATCTCCACCTATCTGGAAAAATTGAGGTGCAGAGAACTAAGAGGCAGACTCATAGTTATCTAGTAGAAGAGCAAGGATCCCAAAGCCAAAGGAAGTAAAGTGGCTTTCTCAGAGCACCCCCCCCCCCCACCAAGGAAAAAGGAAAAGCATTTGTAAAGCAGCATCCACTCTCTGCCTAGTACTGTGTAAGCAAAGCTTTAGCCAGATGAGCATATGCTTCCCTCACCAGTGATCAACAGCAGCAAAAGCAGATTTTGTGTCATCACACAGAAGCAAAGCAAAATTTTTCCCATGACAAAAGGCTGGCTGGGTGACCTGTTCCATCCACATTCTTGTCAGTACATGTGAAGAGGGTCCAAGGTTGCTCTCAGAGCTACCCTGGGAAGATTCTTTGGCTCCTCATTCAGATCACCTAGGAATACAAGCAAAGATGCTCACAAATTAAGAGACCCAGAATCTGCCCCTTTCATCTTTGCTAGGAACAAGATCGGAAAATAAAAATATCACCATGCCCATGTTTATATCACTATGAAGCCTTTGGTGGCAATCTGTGCTTTTCATAGTTGCTTCTTTAAGACAATGTTGCTGCAGCAGCCATTGCAGCTGAGTGCCTGCAGACTCCCATAACCTTCACTAGCTACTGTGGAGCGTTTACCCAACCACCCCCACAGTTCCCCAGAGTTTTCTTGAGTGCGAGCAGCAGGAAATATTAGATAGAAGGATTTATTGCGGAGAATCTTGCAGAGATAAACAGATAGAAAATAAAGGATAGCCTCGAGAGGGCCTGGAACCTATTCCAACGGGCCCTGACTGTCTCTGCCCCAGGGTTTTTATAGAGACGCCAAGGGGTGGAGCAAAAGACCTCCTCCCCCAACACAGCCAAGTGCAGACCATCCCAGACACCTGCACTTAGGCCCGTGGTCTAATCATCCTCTATGCGGACCTGCTGGGTAAAGCCACAAGGAACCCGAGAACGGGCTCCCACAGTTCCCCCTTTCTTAATATATATAAAAAAATAACTATTAATGGCTTACAGCAATCTCCATAGCTGTTACATCTCCCAGTATGGGAGTAGAGGATGATAAAGATGGCATTTCTCTTTTGAATTAGGTCCAAGGTGACTACAGCAGTCTTAGCTGCCTCAAGCCCTTTCTAAGCCAAAAACTCCTAAGGTGACTACAAACTTAAAGAATCCCTTAGCTTCATCATTACCATTAACAGGTTAACATAAATATTGCTATACATAGTCACAATTCTCTCAATCTTACAACTCAAAGCAAACTCTTAACAGAACCATTTGAATTAGCATATATGGTGCTAAATATAGTTAACAATTTTCTCCGTCTTACAACTTTAACTCAATCATTTGAATTTTCTTGCTAACAGAACATAGGAAAAACTTCAATGTATTCACATCAAACTTAAATATTTCCTTAACTCCACAAAACCAGGGTGCATTAATATCAATAGGTTTCTGCAAACATAATTCAATCTCATAACTCCTCCTTTTCTTTATAATTTTTTAAACAAAATCTCAAACCTAGTTAGAGGAACCCAAACTTATACAATTCCTACAAACCCATATTGAAAAGCAATATTTTCAATCTAACCATTAACACTTTGAAACTTTTAGCAAAACATCCAAAAGCAGTTTCTTAATAAAACTCTTTACACACTTTAAAAGTAGTCTCTTAGTATACCCCATTTGCATTTCTTACTAACAAAAACATGACATTAATCCACTCAAACAACTTTTGAAATTAGACTAAGGAATATTAACTCTCCCCTTTTTCTTTATAATTTAAGCAAAATCTCACGCCTGGTTAGAAAACCCAAACTTTTCCATTTAAACAGTTCCATTTGTAACACAAAACCAGTCCCAGAAAACAGTTTCTGGGTCATTACTGTAAGTAAACTCAAAATTGTCCCATTGCAATGAAATCCATTGTTCAGTTCATTAAGTCCTAGAATTCAAATGATAAATTCTGGTACTAGCCTTCCAAATATGAAGAAATCCATAACCAAAATCTTTCTGTAGTTTTATCTCATTATAAGTTCAAAAAGTTCAAAAAAGTAAATTCTGGTATCAGGCTTTCCCTTCCAAATATGAAGAGACGTTTTACAACCAAAACTTTTTGCAGATAACAATTTTCGTTCAAACAAGCATCTCTGCAACTTTTATTCTCAAGCCAGAGACCTTTTTAGTTATAGTAATATTTTAAATTGCACCGTTTTTGCTGTTAGCTCAGGTTTTTCTGTGTTGCCTTGATTTTCCACAGATCTCAGCTGTGGATGCCTTGTTGCGCTGGTTCTGGCGTCTGCCATTCTTAGCTTCTTAGCAGTTTATGGAACTTTTGAAAACATTCAGACTGCCTGCTTTGCAGTCTACTGCGACACTACC